CCCGCCAGAGGCCCCGGCCGCTCGCCCCGCGACGCTGAGGGAAGAGCGGCTGTTGAGCCCAGCGGCCCCCGGCCGGTGGCAGTGCGCGGCGCCATCAGAGCGCGGTGGTCGACCCCCTCACGCGCCTCTACCTGAGGGAGAAGCGCGGGTTCTCCGGCGGAGGCGCCCCGCGGGAGGCGGGGGGAGCGGCCCCGCTAATCCCGGGGGCTCGCCGCCTCCCCCAGCGCCTCGTAACCTGCCTGCCGGCTGGCTGCATCTCCAGCCATCTTCCTTCCCCACTCATCCCGCGGTTCCTTATGAGGCTTTCCGCGGCTGGAAGCACTGTGAGGTCTTGTGAAGAGCGGTGGGCTGCACGCGTGCGGGCCGCGGCCTTGCCGGCAGACCCCCGGGCGGCCCTCCGGACCCCGCTAGGGCCGAGCACGGGGGTCAGGGAAGGGCTTGAAGGAAGCCACATCGCACAGCGGGGATGCTGGAAAGCACCTGTTAGGCCGGTAATACAAGCACACAGGCATCCCTGGAGCACAGCTCTAAAGCATACAAGTGTTACTGCTGAATGCACTGCTGCTGTAAGATCACTTGTATTTAAATTCGAGGACGTGAAAAAAACATTTGTTTTCATCAGCGATAAGGGCTCCAGTCTTGCAAAGCGGTTAAATCGCCACTTGACATGAGTGGCCCTTTCCAGGGAGGGTAGCAGAGTCGTACCACATCACCTCAGTATGGTCACTGCCTCAGCTCATGCCACCAAGGACTGTGCACAGTTGAGGAATGTTCCCCTTGGCTAACCAGAACCAAGTGATTTAAACAAATAATCAAGACAAGAATCGAAACTTCTCTACTGCTTCCCATTATACAAGATGAGATTAAAAAAACCTGTGGTTAGATGAAACTCTGCTGTTAATATTAGGACAGAATTAAATTTTTTTCTTTCCACCTTCTTAGTAATATCAGTGTTTGTATAGTATCAGCAGGATTTTACTTACTGTGAAATAATTTAGAAAATAGCTATTTGTGCAGTCTACAGCCTCACTCCTACTTTGAATGCTTTGTTTTTTAAGATTTATGGAGATCTGGAAGAGTAGTAAGATTTCCATAGATTTTAAAATCTTACTTCCTACTACAGTAGGAATTTGAGGTAATTAGAACTAGTAATTAAACTATGTGAGCATTAAAGCTTTCAAAGTCAGCACTGATTAAAAGCAAAACTGAATCTCGTAATCTCTTAGGAAGTATGATGAAGTGTGATTTAAAGTTATAAAGAGATACACATAACACAGCCTGTTAGATACTTTATTCAGTCCTCATTCAGTTCAGGATAACCCTCTTTTACTAACTAAACTTTTTTGTGTAGCTCATTCAGTGAAGACTTTCAGTTAATAGATGGTTATTCCAAAAAGGAAAGCAAGTTACTTCTGTTTTGCTGTTGCTGAGAAAGCTGAATGAAGCATAAACTCCTCACCACTGCCTAACATTTCATCAGAAGGTGTATCAGCAACTTGCAAATATGGAATAATTTGTGCATTGAACTTCCATGTTCTCACATGCAACAGTTAAGCTCAGTATAGAGGCTGCTAGTAGCAGGAAAAAATACTGCACGTTCTTGTGCTAACTAATGATTCCTCTCAATCTAGTTTTTAAAAGCTAGGTGATTAAAATATTTTCATATACACACATTAGAAATTATCTGCCACAAAACTAAAGGTCAGCAAGACTTGGAAGAGGAAGTATTAAATTGTCATTCAATATTAAGCTTAATGCCAAGACTAGACAAACTTGTTAGTAGAGAAGACCTTTCTGCCAGCAATAGCGTGGTGAAAAAAAAATACTAAGACAGCAACAGCACAGGCCAAATCAATCAGGACAGAAAAATGGGTTACTCACTATTGATGGAAAACAGCCAACTTCTCCATCTGTACTCAGTTGTTGCGGGTGGTGGCAGGGGGGTAGGTGGTGGTTTTAGTTCCTGAGCCATGAATTTCTGTGATGCTCCTGCCATATCATTGTCTAAAACTGCTGGTTTACATCTGATACCATTATAGTAATTTTTGTCCCTATTACCGTCCCAATTTGTCCCACTAATCCTACAACTTTGGGAATTTCCAGAGTGGACCTGCACTCTGCAATTTATTGAAATGAGCAGCTTTTACAGGAAGAACTTTCCAGGATAGCAATTTTGTAAACAGTGGGACCTGTGGGAAATGTTCCGTGCATTCAGGGTACACCTCAAGAAAAATATCAGAGCCTCAGAGTCGGGTAAGATAATAGAAAAGAAAGAAACAGCAAGACCTTGAAGCGGATGGTGCATGCCAGTAGGCCAAGCTGCCTTTGAAAAGCAGGTCCCCTGCTGGAGACATAGGAGAAGAGCCCTGCAGTACTGAAGGCTCTGCTGTTCAAAGCATTACAGGCAATATAGTTCTTCCACAAGACTTTTCAGACACTGAAAAGAATAGCAATCTGCAGATTTTGGAGATTCCAGAGAAAGAGCTAGGACTTACTTAAAATCACTATTCTCCAAATTTAAGACAGTTCAGAACAGTCCTGTCTGAACATGGCTTGGCCTTGCCTAGTGCTTGAAGACATTGGACTCCCAAGAGATTGTGTGGGTCACTGAGTCCACTCACCAAATGATTGATTCCAAAGTGAAAAAAGGCTTTACATAGCCCGGCTACAATCAAAACTGGCAATATTTAAAACCCTGTAGGCCACCATGGGAGAAGAGTTAAGCCAATGCTCAGACCTTTTGGTAGTCCCCAGCAGTACCCTCTGCAGATAGAGCCAAAAAAAAAAAAAAAAGTTTAGAGCAAAATAATTTGGACTTCATTTCTAGGTTTGAAGGATTTAGACAAGAATAACATTGCTGCTTACCATAACATTTCAGACCAATTAGCTTTAAACATAAACATACCTATATAAAGTCAAAGACAAGCGTGAGGACTGGGGTTCATAAGCAATGGTACATACACTAGTAGCATGCACAAGGGATAGCATCCACCCCTTCTGCTCCATCCTGAGCAGAAAGGCAGCAGATGCAACCTAAACAGCCATATCACCTAGCATAGACTAAACCAGAG